CAATGAAAGCAGAAGCATGAAAACTAGTGTGGGAGAACACCAAGGGAGTTGTTAGAAGTTTTGTTTAGGAAGAGTAAAGGGGAGAGAGGCATAGGAGGAGATGAGAACAGAGCACATGAGTGCGACACTTCAGAGATGAGGAGAAAAAATTTGAACTTGATAAGGAAATATAGTAAGAAGGGATTCACACAGAGGCACCATGTGTGTGAAAAAGAATTTGTAACAGTGGCAATTTGAATAGATTGGAACAGGGCAAGCAGATTGCCGTATTCTCTATATCATTGATTTGAGGGCACGCAAATACTGTAATTCGTGATGCTTAACTTTCCTGTATTCCCACAATCCCATCCACTACACACAGGCCCAGTCTACGCAAGTGCTGTATTTGTTTACTCCTGAGGGAATTTTGCACTAATAAATTAAAAATTCTGCACCCAAAAAAAAAAATTCTGCAAAATTCTGCATATTTTATTTGTCAATAAATAAATGTGGAGGCTCTGCCATGGCAGTGGGGAGCACAGACCACTGGCTGTACAGAGATGGGAGCTCACTCTGCAGGCCCCCCACCCACCTCAGGATACAGACTCTGCAGTGAGGCTGCACCTGACTCTTGACAGTGCACTGCCCCAGAAACAGCCCAGGGCCCTGCCCCTCCGCGCCAGGCGCACCAGGACAACAAGCGAGAGGGACAGAGTCTCCCATGCACGCACAGCCCTTGGCCCCCAATCCAGGTGTGGGGCAAGTAGGCTCAGCCCAGTAGGATCAAAGTGTAGAGGAGCTTCGTGTGGGGCGAGAGGGTTCATTGTGGGGCAATCTGGGTGCAGGCAACTTGGTGAGGGGTCTAAATGGGTGTGGGATCTGGATGCATTGGGGCTCATTGAAGATTCCGGGTGCAAGGGGGTCCAGGTGATTGGGTGGTTGGGACTCGGCGGGAGGGTCTGAGAGTGGAGGGGGATAGGGCTCAGCAGGGGTGAGTCCGGGTGCTGGGCAATGTTCGCTCTAATTTTTTCGACCGATGTGCAGAATTAATTTTGTTATGTGCACCAATATCAAGGTAATGTGCGGATGTGCGCCACCAGTAGAAACAAAAAACCTAATTATATATAACATATATAATATATATTATATCTATATATTTTTAAAAAGTTACCATAGGGATAATTACTCCAGTTAAGACAGGTTAGGCATTTTAGAACTCAGTACTCAAAGAATTAAATTTAAGCATAAGAGAGAAATAAATTATGAAATGCAGAGACCAGTCAAAAAACTAAAATAACAGCACTTTGAAAGAATAAAATTACAGAGAATATATGTGCATTGCAGGAAGTATCAAGTAACAACAAAAACAATAACACAAATATGTGTTGGGAGGTGAGTGTGAAAGAGACAGTGTGCGCCTGTGTTTGTGTGCACGTGTGTGTGTGTGTGTGTGTGTGTGTGTGTGTGTGTGTGTGTGTGTG